GTGTGCGCTGCGGGAGAAAGGTGTATCTACATGTCCAAGAGGAGCTGGGAAAGCTCGGACCGGAGGATGGAGGTCGCCTTCTTTTGTGGCTCTGGATTTGAGTCTCGGGAAGCGGATTCCGGAGCCGCGCGAGTCCAGGAACTAGATAAGTGTGTGCGCTGCGGGAGAAAGGTGTATCTACAAGTCCAAGAGGAGCTGGGAAAGCTCGGACCGGAGGATGGAGGTCGCCTTCTTTTGTGGCTCTGGGGTTGTGCCGAGGGCGGCGGCCCTGCGAGAAGCGTGGAGCGTGGCGGGCCGGACCTGGGATGGGGTGGTTCTTGCTCTGGACTGCCCGGTATCAAAAATCCGAAGATGCTACTCCCAGAGCCCCAGGCCTTGTAGGACTTGGGCAACGGGAGGCAGCGGCTGTGGTGGACGATCCCTACTGCCATTGCGCAATGCTTTCTCAACTGTTGGCAGGAGGAGCGCTCCCCCCACGAAGCCAGCCCTCAATTCCTGCACTGCAGCCCTCCAACAGAGAAAACTGGAGGAATCGGGCCGGAGACTCAGTCCTGACTCAGGATGAGGCGGCCGGTGGCACCCGGAGCTCCCTTCTGGCAGGGATGGGGCGGGCCCGAGTCCCACCCTCAATCGGTGGGTCCCACCCACCTAACCACACTGCAGTGGCCAAAACCCGGAAAAACGGGCCCCATCCCAATCCCGAAGCCTGGCGGCACCCGCAGTTTAGGGCATGCTCAGTCGGCAGAGCTGGTCCTTGGGCTTGGAAGTAGGAAGCTTTTGCACCGCACGCCCACACTCCAGCTCAAATTACCTCTCCTGGACTCCGCATTCATTGGTCCCAGGGCGCGAGTCTCACACCCTCCAGCCTTCTGCCATTGGCCACCGCCAAGGTTTTATCAGTTTGGGTTGCTTCATTGGCTGAAAAGTAGCCTCCCTTCGCGATTGGTTATTTATAGAGATTGAGTTGGGAGGCGGAGGCACAGCTGTTCTTTCTCCGCTATTCCCCTGCCCCCTTCCTCCCACTTTCCCAACCCAGTCGTTTTGCAGTGATGAGTGAAAAAATAAGAATTTAGGCGGAGAGCTCAGAACTAAATATAGTCCTTTGTTGATGTTTTAGAGGGAGTCTGACTCTCGGTGCCCAGTCACGACTGTCCCCTGTAGGGAGCTGATAGGGCTGATTACAATTCTTGGTCTGCAGGAAACAGCAAAGTTTCCAAGTTTTTCTGTAGGGAGGGGGGAGGGTGTTAGGATGAGAAATGAGCCACTTGGAACTCGTTTCACCCGGAGAGGCGCGGGGAATGTCCAGGCTTGCCTGTTCGGAAACGTCAGTGCTCTTGGGCAGGCAGTCGCTAGACTTGGCTTGGCTCTCTTTCAACGGAGGCGCGAGGAAGATGCCCAGACTTGTTCTGAGTATCTCTCATCCTTGCAAGGAGAGGTGTCAAGACCTGTCTGCAAACATCACTGGCTGGTAGCGTGAGCCCCATGGCGAAGGGGATGGGGAAGGACAACCCTGATCCGGCATCCTGACTCTCTCATCCTTTGCCATTGCTCTCTGGTTTAACCGTCTGCACAGGAAGGATGAGCCAGGAGGGGTGCTGACGCTTGGTTTCAGTTCCTAGTCCCGCCATGACTCATGGCCACGTTAGCAAGTTAACCTTTTTCAAACCCGGGCTCCAGTGCGAGTCCGCTGCAGGAAGTCCTCGGGCCTACGCCTGGGGGTGCCATGGCTGGCGCTCCCGTCGCATCCAGAGCCTTCTATTTAGTGGAGAGAGGGCTTTCACCTTTGACTGTCAGAGTACTTGCATATAATTATGCTTATGTAAGTCTCCAGAAAAATCTCTGGAACAAATTCTAATATAGCTGGATAGAATCCTGCCAGTCTTTACCCAATGTTGAATATCTGCCTATTATTGTACCCCTTTTGAAGAAGAAACCTAGACCGTGAGATGTTGGGTAACTTGCTAGAGATTTCACAGCGGAATGTAGCAAAGCTTAGATTCCAACGGAAGCTGCAGAGTCTGGTCTAACCACTAGTCAGCACTGCCTTCTCACAAGAATATTCCTAGTTTTTGCTCTTTCTCAGGTTAGGTTGATTTTAGATTCAATGTGAACAAACTTTCTCCCCACCCCTTGGTGCAAGGGATCAAGTCCACATCACCACTGTGCCAGGTAAGTACTCTTCTGCTGAGCTACATCCAGGGCCTTCAAACTGGCTTTTAAAGCCAGGTAAGAGGAACCTCTGTCCATGCCACATTCCACCTCTCCTCTGGCAGTGCCCCCACCCACAGGGTCAAGCTAATGATCCATCTGGCTGCAGAACCCTTTTTCTAGACCAGGCTCCAGCTAGTCAGAACACTTGAATGCCCTGTCCACATGGTGCCAAAACCACTTCCAGCATCTGTTTGGGATTCTGGGCAATGATTGTTCAATTGAGTGTATACTCCCACGTGCTTGGGCCCTTTTCATGTGGAAGAGTATTGGTGGGGTCAGTTTTATCTTCCCTGGCACTTTCCAGCCCTTGGTGGGTTCCAAGAATTCCTAATTGACACCTAGTTACCGGGTCCTTGCAAAGAGGTATTTGCTACGATATTTTAGCACTTTGTTGTCTTGAGTGGTAACTTAAATCCTTCAATTAGTGCTATGTGTGTTTCTATGTGTACTGTTGCCCACAGAGGTGGTTCTGAGTCTGATGTAGAAGAAATGGTTTGTCCTTACAGGTGTGGTGTCTAATCTCAAGGATTAGATCTGGGTTATCCCCTGGGGCCTTGTGCAAGCCCCTGACCTTCTTGACCTTAGTTTCTTTATCTGTAAAATGATGACAGTAAAATGTGCCCCACCCATCTAGCTGCACAAGGAGCCTTGCAGAGGACCTAGTTACTAAAGCCTTCGTTTTTCAGCAAGAGAGCTGAGCAGAATCAGTGCTCTGGTGTTCTGGCTGCGCTTTCTATGGTGCCAGGCGGTCCATAGATAAGACCTAACAGGTGGTGGATGGAAGTGTGCTTTTAAAGCTGTAGCACTTCATACAAGATCTAGCTACTGCCCACACAGCTTGATAATCTCACCTGGAAGAGGCCATCCACAGGTACCCTGGTGGATGGGGGATGGCCTCTTAAGTACCAGAAAGATGGCTCAGCTTGAATACTTTCTATTAGGTATTCTTCGCTAGCAATTTTTTAATATACTCAGATTTTTTTCCCACAGATTTATATTGGGGTATTGAGATTCAAAATGGAGGAAAGAAAATTGCTATTGTACAAATTTTAAGGTTGGTTGCTGTCTCCTATGAAGTGCATTAAGATGTTTTTGATATTCCCACTTATAGCAGGAATCATTATCCTGGGGCCATTATAATTTACATACCTAAGTCTGGTATTCTAAACATCATGTGAATTACTTGAGGTCAGGGTCCATGTCTTGTTTCCCATTACAGCTTCCTCTGTCTCTCATGCTTTTAGTACAGGAAGACTGTAGTTGTTTGCTGCAGGACAGGCTGGATAAATGTTAGCTGCAGGGTAAACTGAGTATGCTACCCCCACTCATCCTTAGCCCTTCCTTTGGGGATGATTATTTGGTGCCTTTTCCCTTTACTTCCTCTTGTTGTTTTTCGATTTGAAACCTGCACCTAGTCCATGCCCAATCCTCTTGAAGGCAGAAGATGACACCTTTAGCAACTACTGTGTGACCCAATCACTGTACCCCAACCAGGCAGCTTGTAGACCAGAGACCCTATTAGATTTAGGCAGCACAGCACAGGGCTATAAAAACCTTCTCCTGCCACCCGCCCCCTCCTCTTTTTCTCCAGTAGATCAGACACTGTCACAATAGCAATAAAGATCTCTTGGTCACTTTGAGTGTCATGGTCACTTTCCTTTCATGAGTATTGATGAATAAAATATGGTATTTTATTCCTTTTCTGAGCTACATTTTGGTAAAGGTAATATCAACCTCTGGTGAGACATAACATTTCCAAGATCCAAACAAAAATGTCTGCTCCATTTGGAGTCTCCCTGAGCCATAAAGATGCTGAAGTAATGAAAGCACACTAAGTTGGATAGAAACACTAAATTCATTCTCTCTTGGGGAAAGACACCAAAGCATCCTATGGATGAATGTTTTCTATGAAGAAGACTTAACATTTACAGTTACCATGAAAAGTATTTCTGGAAAATAACCTAAAAGTAAAATCTACCAGATAAGGA